CATCCCCTACGCGCACAGCCCGTCGGTGCGCAAGCTCTCCAAGATCGCCACGCTGCTGCTCGCCAAGAACTACATTCTCATGCAGGCGCAGGCTCTGGATGAGATGCGGCGCCTGGTGGCCTACCTCAACCAAGGCCAGGGTCTGGCCGCGCCCGTGGCCGCCGCGCCCTTGACGCCCTTCGGGCAGACCCCCGTGTGCCCCTTCTCGGCGGGCACCGCGCTGGGGCCCTGCCCGGACAAGTGCACCGCCTTCTCTGGAACGCCCTCGTCTCTTTGCAAACACTGTGGCGAGAAGCCGTGACTCCGCCAGCTCATCCCCTCCTTCCGCACGCGTCCTTCTGTTGCGTCCAGCCGGGATAACCGTTATCACCTTGCCCCGACAAGAGAAGCCTGGACGGGCCCTGGAGAGGTGGCGACCCGACCTCGCTTCCAGCCCTGGGCCGTGAACGGTTTGGAGCTAACTGCGGGAAGCGCAAAGCCGGTCCGGCACGGGTTGCGCCCAGAGTGGAACGCTGGAATCTGCTCTCCCGACGTCCCCTGTGCGCTGCCTGGGGTCGTCACGTATAAGGGGCTAGGGGTCGGGTGGAAACCCATCGCATTCCTTCGGGCACTGCCGCCCACCCCCTAGAAGACCACGGCAGAGCCCCAGGGCCGCAGCGAAGGCGCTCACTGACGCAACCCCAGAGGAGCAGTCCTATCTTGAGCCGGTCCGGGGCGCGGAGATGACGGAGACAGGGTAGTCGTCTTGGCCCGCGGTGACGATCCCCGTATTGGGGCTCGACCTCGGGTCCCAGTCTGTCCCTCTGGCTGAAATGCAGGTCAGGGGTCTGGCTGGGCGTGTTCCTGAGCACTCGCGTAGCCCTGCAACCTCACACTCGGCCAGCTCCGAGACTCCAGCGATCCCATGTCCCTTTGCACGCCAACCAACCCGGCAATGGTCGCTTGCAAAATTGCTGGGCTGCCCGCTCAGGAAGACAAGGGCAAAGATCTTTTTGGCCTTTGCCAAGTCCGAGTTTGTTCTTTTTATTTTCTTGCCCGACTGGAGGTGCGGGAAGTGGACGCCAGCGTCTGCTGCCTGGGAGTCTGAGGGATTTACACCCGGACTCCTCCGCCACCATTACCCCGGCCCGGAATGGCCACGCGGGGGAGCAGGGTGGGATGAAGACGGCTACGTGTGCCCTCTGCCCCAGAGCCTGGTGGAGGTGTCCTCACAGCCCACGCCCTCACTTGACTTCGGAGGGAGGGCCCCAGTCCAGCCTTGATGGCCAGAAAAACCTCCCCACCAACCCGGACACGTTTCTGAGGGGGAGGCCCGGCTCCGGTGAGTACGCCGCTGAGGCCCTCGTGCCCCCGCCGGGTGTGGACTGATCTGGGGTCTGCGTCCTTCGTGCCGCTGCGCAGCTCAAATTCTGCGGTCATCCAGGATCCGCGGTGCCTAGGGCAACCCCAGGGAACGCGTGTCCGCCGGTTTGCGTCCAGCGGCCCGGCCGGACTAACCGGGTCTCCACTGGCGTCTGCCGCTGGTGCTGGCGGACAGAAGGCCGCCCTGCAAAGCGACTTGTCCACAGCTGTGGCTTTAATTAACACATTTCAAAGGTCCTTTTGTATTTGCAAAATGAACTGTGTGATTAAGTCTTACTCATAAAGACGTGCTTAATATTGGTTTCTGCTAATTTCCATTTTTATTTCTTCATTGTCTTTCCCCCCTGACAGATTAGCGTAACAGTTTTGCACGTTCAGAAAGCGGAGCGCTGGAGACCGTTGTTCAAATCCGTTTTAGATAAAGTAGCGAAGGAAAACTGGAAACTGAAATGTCCTTTTACTTCTGGGGTCATTTCAAAGTGAACTTAGGTCAACTTGCTTATTCTGACTCAAACCAGAGACATTTGGTAATCCTTTATATTCAGAATAACGTATTTGATTTCAACTTATCTTTTAAAAAAATAACATTGATTTTAAATGAATTTAATTAATATCAAATTAGTGTTCTTTTATGACTGAATTCATCCTAATTTTGAATTTCAAATAATTATGTCAGTCACTTTTGGCCACCTGCTTCTAAACCAGAGTCTGAAGTGTCTCTGAAATGTTCTGACTATCACCAACCACTTATTACCAAGTATATGAAATCTTAAGAAAAGGGTGAAGGGAAAAAAAATCTCTCTTCCCCTCTTTGATGAAAACCAATTTTTAAAAAGAACCATTTCACTAATCAAAAATTATCTCAATAGCTTAGAGTTTTTCCTTAAAGTTCAAGTTAAACATTTTTTAAATTGCAAAGCTGTTTCTCTACTGTTCTCCACAATATTTGCATGTCTTTCTCTGGGGTGGAATAGAGGATTTCAGAGTGACATCAGGCAGTTCCGTCAGCCTGCCCTCTCCCAGCACTCTCTGCTCTCAAGTTTGTACAGTGAACTCCCCTCCTCTGCCTGGGTGCCCACCTCTGGCAAACACCAAAATGTAACCAGCACAGGCTCTCTGGAAACACCTGGTGGGGAGGAGTTCTAGGCTGTGCTTCTGTAGGTGTGTCCAGGCTTCTGAGAGTTACTTGGAAAGAACTTCATCACCACCCGTGCACCCCAAGAGCCAGTGCTCCTGCAGGTGGGGGAAGAATTAAATAGGAAAGAGTGTTGCTTATAACTCAGGTTTGAATTGATCGTCTTAAGAAACTTGTTTGTTTTTTTTTTAGAGACAGAGTCTTACTTTGTCGCCCTGGGTAGAGTGCTATGGCATCACTGCTCACAGCAACCTCCAGCTCTTGGGCTTAGGCGATTCCCTTGCCTCAGCCTCCCGAGTAACCGAGACTACAGGTGCCCACCACATCACCTGACTATTTTTTGGTTGCAGTTTTGGCCAGATCTGGGTTCAAACCCACCACCCTTGGTATATGGGGCTGGTGCCCTACTCACTAAGCCATAGGCGCCACCCAAGAAACTTGTTTTTAGATTCTTTTTTTTTTTTTTTTCAGTTTTTGGTGGGGGCTGGGTTTGAACCTGCCACCTCCAGTATATGGGGCCAGCGCCCTATTCCTTGAACCGCAGGCATCACCCTGTTTTTAGATTCTTTATAGGTAAGGGTATATATCTGGGGGGTGTGGGCAGCAAGGGGGGCTGTAAGGCAGTATCCCCAGAACTGAGATTTTTCACACCACCCTTTTGAACCAGCATCCTCCTGTCGGGACAGAATGCCAGGCCTGTACAGAATCTTACATTTTCTAGTGGCCACATGAAAAAAGTAAATAGAAGCAGATGAAGTTAATTTTACTGATAAGTTTTATCATACCCAAAATATTATCATTTCAACATGTAATTAATATTTTAAATTATTATTTTTGTTTGTTTTTGAGGCAGTGTCTTGCTCTGTTGCCCAGGATACAGTGCAGTGGTGTCATCGTAGCTCACTGCAACCTCACACTTCTGGGCTCAAGAGATCCTCCTGCCTCAGCCTCCCAAGTAGCTGGGATTATCGGCACCAGCTAATTTTTCTATTTCTTGTAGAGACGGGGTCTCACTCTTGCTCAGGCTGGTCTCTAACTCCTGTGCTCATGCTATCTTCCTGCCTAAGGCCCCAGAGTGGTGGGATCACAGGCACGAGCCACCATGCCCAGCCTAGCATTTTGAATTATTAATGAAATGTTTTACTTTACTTTGGGGAATACTAAGTCTTCAAAAAAAACCACTTCTATCTCACACTTGGAGCCTGTCTCAGTTCAGACTGGCCATGTTTTGTGTGTTCCGTGGCCACATGTGGCTCAGGGCACCGTGTGGATGTTGCTGCTCTGGGCTGTGCTGGTCCCAGACGAAGGGCCCTTTGTTTAATAACGACCAGGGAATGTCCACTGGCTTGGAATCTGGTCTGAAGCTAGACAAACAGGAACTACCCGTCCTGGTTTTTCTTACAATCCTGATTCCCTGTGTCTTTGTTCCAAGTGCCGGCTGAGGCTCAGGCTGGGCAGGCAGCAAGAGGAGCCACTGTCCACTTTCCACCGAGAGGTGGTGGCAATGTCCATGGGGTTACTGGCTCCACACACCCATCCAACCTCTCATGGGCAACCACACCCAAGCCAGGGAGCTGCCAGGATACAGCAGTTTACAGACTGAACCCTTAAAAGTGTCCCAGCACGGTGATGACCCTGGGTCCTGCTTTTTCTCCATGTCCACTGAGGGTTACTGCCTCTTTCCTCCTGCATTAACCAGAGAAGCAGAGGTCTTGGCTCTGCTGGCTCCTCTGGAAAGGTGTTCCTTGGTGAATCCCCGCTTATAGGGACTGGGGCAGGCTTGTCTAAGCCGAGTGGCTCTGCAGGAGAGATGCTCCTGTCTCAGCCTCTCTGGTAGCTGTGACTGCAGGTGCGTGCCACCGTGCCAGTTAATTTTCCTATTTTTTGTAGAGACGGGTCTGGCTTTTGCTCAGGTTGGCATCAGGAGAGGCCAGCTGTGTGGCCCAGGTCCCGGTCCCGTCTTGGTCACTAATACTGTGTCAGTTAGGGAGCATGACCTCCCCGCTCTTCCTTTGTGGAATCAAGCAGACAGCAGACGTGTTTCTCTGTGCTTTATGCATCTCAATGCCCTGTAGTTCATCGGCATGGCTAAGACAGGGTAGCCCTCAGGGTGTGTCGCCCGCACAAACTCGAACTGGCTGAAAGGATTTTTCCACCTACCCAGCAAGGCCCTGTGGTCCCAGCCCTCAGTTCTAGTGGGGCCCAAGGTACTTGACAAAGATCTTTGTTTTCTCCCAGTTAAGAAATTTGTTCACAGGAACAGGTAATGGGTATTCACCCCTGAGGGCAGAACACTGCCCAGCCCAGCTCATTGACATCTGGTATCCCACACGCAGCATCCAGCAGTTCATTTTGTTTTTAATTTCATCCCAAAGAAGAAATTTTTTATTTCACTTATGCAGATGTCACTAGATTCATGGGGGACTTTATTTCACCTTATAGTTAAGCTCATAGGTCCCGAATATAGACCTTCACTTTGCCAAATATTCATGTCTGTTTCCCTTGCAGGCTGGACACACTAATTGAAGAGGCGGGGCTGTAAGGACAAATATTGTTTTCCTAAAAAGATGGGTGAAATGCACAAACCGTCATTCCAAACCCAAAGCTACTCTGGCTTCACCATTGGCTCCCTGAAAGACCTCCTGTCGGAACTACGGAGCAGAGGCTCCTAAGCCCTGGTTAATCCACCAGAGAATGATTACAGCAATTTTATAATGTGAATTTGTCTGTGATATGTTTTTAGTCTTTAATCGGTTTTGGCATCCCATTTGAAGAGATGGAAATACAGGGATTTGAGATGTATTAAATCATTTCTCCAACAATTACCTCTTTGAACTCATAACCCTGGACTCTGTGTTCCAATAGCCAACAAAAGTCTGTTTCATAAAAATTAGGAAATTATTACATATTTGCAAATTTAACCCCAAAGGCACAAAATCCATGCTGCTGTGAACACAGAAAGGCTCATCTAATTGGCACAGTCACTTTTGATTCAAGCGTTTTCCTTGCAGTGGAAAGTGACTTGCGCTGGCTTTTTCCAGCCTGAATACACAGAGCAACCACTCGTGTCCCTAGTGAGAGCTGCTTTAGCCACCGCTGGAATTATTCTCGCAGTTACCATGGAGGGGGGCACAGCGAGGTATGGGTGGAGGGTCTCTGATTAATGTGCTTGGTCTTGTCTGCTTCATCAGTTCCTTTGAGGCTGCATCCACCATCCTGGGAGCATCTCCTGCCTCACCTCCCACAGAGGCTGCCTCTGTGGCTCCAGCCTGTGTATCTGGAAGGCTCAGCCAGAACCCAGGGTGGCTCCGTGTGGGCCTGCCAATGGCCTCTGTCGCCCACAAGGCACTGGCCACTGCCGGGGATGGGAGTGAGAGCCTGGCTGAAGGGATCACGGGGAAGGCTCGGCTGTTTGGAGAACACAGGGGCCATTTCCCAGGCAGACTTGTGCCTGCCAGCCCTATTTTGTCTAAACCGATGAGCCCACAGTTGGTTGCTCTCCTGGGACCCCCTGATTTGCCCTGACGTGAAGCCAGTTCCCCTAGTCTGCGTGGAAGGCACTTGCTGTCCTAATGAGGCATTGGCGGGCCTGGATATTTGGCCGCAAACCCCAAGACACAAACGGGACCCACCATGCTCTCTGATGGCCACAAGGCATCTGACAGGACCCATTCTCGTCGCTGTCCTCCAGAGCCTCTGCCTACTGTGGCGTTGGAGCTGAGCACCTCTCAGATCCCTGCTCCCGACCACAGATGGGATTTCACAGAAGCTGCGAAATCCCCGGAACAAACAGCCTGTGTACTTCGTGCCGCAAACAAAATTGCCTTTCACGGCCCCAGACAGCACCTGAGGCAGCGTGTCCAGTCTCTCAGCCTCCATCTGCCCAGGGGGCGCCTCAGCCACAGTGTGACACAACACAGAGTGGACCCCAGAGGGGACGAGAGGGCCTGTTGAGTGTCCGTCGGTGAGTGGGTAGGAACCATGACCCTGCCAGAGCTGGCCCAAGGTGTGCTCATGTGTGTGTGTGTGCACATATCGAGCAGCAGTGTACCATCCCTGTGTGTACACTGGTAAGGGACCCTCGCTCTCCCAGGCAACATGAGCACAATCTTTAGCTTTAGAGACCCACCATCTATGAGCTGCTCAGTGCCAATGGCACCTTGCATCCAGGCTGCTACTGGCAGGAGCTGCCTGGACCAGCTTACTCTCCAGGTGTTGGCACCAGCAGCCCACTAGGCAGAACTGTGGCAGAACCACCTGCCAGAGTGGTTTCACAGACAAGTGGGACGATGCTTATTCTACATTCGGGATTTGGGTTTCTGAAATAAATGCCTGTGACCCGTCAGGAGCAGGTCCACCCAGAGCTCTCTTGTCTGCTCCTTCCCAGCAACTCTCAGGTACCAGGTGGGAGGCAGAGCTCCATCCCAGGACTTCTCCCAGAGGGGGCTGCATCCAGGGCACACCTCACATCTGTCCACACACGATCTGGGCCCTGCATTCCCCACCTGCCCCTGCCCCCCAGACTCCCCTCTCCCCTGCAGCTTCTTTGGGAGGAACTAAAGACTTGGCGACACACTCCCCTACTCTGGCTAACTCTGGCCCCCTGACCATCCACATGTGCTCTTTAAAATTTACCCTACATGCGGTAGAGTCTCACAAGGCTCTGCCCCCAGCTGAGGTGCAGGTGCACTGAACTTGGGAAGGCCTGGCATCCCTCAGAGCCCAGGGGACCAGCCATCCTCAGCCCAGCCTCGGGCCTAGGGCATTGGGCACGAACAAGCTGGGTAGCAGGTGTTCTCTCTGCCCGAGTGTGTCCTGCACACAAGTGCCATGTGTGCAAGGGAATGTGCTGTATGTGTGTGTCTGGGGGTGTGTGTGTGCACATGTGTGTCTATGCCTGAGTGTACACGTGTTCCTGAGTATGCACGTGTGCAAGTGTATGTGTAATGCCACATGTGGCTCTGTCCCAGGTCCCCAAGCAGAAGGGTCTCCAGAAGGCCCAGCCACTGTCCCCTCCTTGTGTGGCTCTGAGTTTTGGAGGGCCTCTTTCCCTTCCTACCAATAGTTTGGCCTTGTGTGTGTGAGGTTAGGTGGGAACCCACAGCCCCCGTATGGGGGAACCACACAGGCCCTTCAGGCCAGGGAATTCCTGGGCAAATGGGATGAACTGGTTCTTAAGGCCTCATCTCTGCCCTAACCTGACCTTGTCCTACTCACACAGTCCCTTGGACAGGTGGGCCAGGGGATAGCCCACACCTGTGAAAACCCCAGTCAGGGAGTATATTGGACTGAGCCCCAGGGCCGGCCACACAGCCAGAAAGACAGAGGGACTAAAGCTGAAGGAGCAGAGCGTCGTTGTCAAAGGTGTGCAGCCACATGCAGCTCCCTCCTGCCCCGCGCAGACAGAACCGTGGCCTGAGGAAAGCAGGGCTTCATGCAGACAGCAAGGGCTGAGTGGTGGTCTGTGCTCCAGGTGGGATCTTCCACCTGAGGCCCCTCCAGGTCTCCTCCCTGGGGAAGGAAAACCCAGACAGAGTCAGACTGAGTCGGACAGGACCAAGACAGGGAAGGGCCAGAGTCAGGGAGGACAGAGGCCAGAGAGGCCACAGGAGCAGGTCACACTCTGAGCTCACCCCTGGGGGCACTGCATAGACAAGGCACAGAACTCCAGGCACAGCAGCAGCCATGGCCACCCTCGGGGTGCAGAGGAGGACCTGCTCACCCTGGGCCTGTCTACAGAATGTCTCTGTGGGACTCTCAGTCTCAAGGGGCAAAGACCAAGGCAGGACTGGCCCAAGGATGACCCCAGGGCTGCTGCAGACACTAGCCCCATGGTCTGCCCTGAGCAATGGACTCCCTGTGCAATACCTAAGGGGGTAGTCATCACAGCCCTGGGTAGGGTCCAAATGAGACAGCCTAAGGCCGGGGCTAAGGCTATACCCAGGAATAACTGGTGTTTGTTCCCAAGTCCTGGGGTGTCCACAGCAGACAAGATAAAGACCACACTTGGTGTCCGCCCAGAGCAGCTTTTGGGTTTTGCTGTCAGTGAAGCTAGTTATAAAATTTCTGTTTTCAGAGCCTTGTGGAAATGAGAACTGTGGGTTCAGGACAATGGGCCCACCATGCCCCTCACCCCAAGACCAAGGCCTACAAGGGACATGGTGTCCAGCTGTGGAAACATCTGGGCCTCTCATTGGGGCCTTTGTGCCTGTGTGGCAGAGTGAGGGCTGGACAAGAGGAGTGGTGTCCACTGGATCAGTGGCCATCCTCACAGTGAGCTCCAGAGGCAGAATGGCAGAAACTGGGAGGTCATTTCCTGAGCCTCCGGCACTTCTTGGGCCCAGATTTATCCTCTATCCAGCCTGGCCGCACCAGCCCTGACTTTCCCTATGGGCCAGCGGTAGCCAACAGAAGGAGAGGCCCCCAGACTCCCTCCTCTTGAGGGACAAAGACAGCACGAGGGCCAGTCAGTGGAGCCAGGCTCTAGGGAAGATGTGGTGGGAGGCAGAGGCCATGGGCCCCACCAGCGAGCTGCAAAGTCTGCTCCACTTTCTGTCTGAGGAGCCGGCACACAGCCAGTGCTCATCCCTGAGGCTCTGTCTCCGGCAGGGGCATGACCCGGGGGCTGATTAATACCGTGGCTATGCTGACAGAGGGGAGAAGATGGATCCTGAGGCCACCAGCTTCACTGGGCAGCCTCCTCTCAGCCAGGAACCTACTCCCTGTGCCTATGATGGGTGGACACCAGCCCCACCTGCCCTCGAGCTGAGCACCCCAGGGCTGCTGCCAGGCCACTTGTCAGCACCCACCTGGGGATGTCCCTAGCCCCTCACTCAAAATGCAGCACCAGTCACCACATCATATGAGAATCCTGTGAGAGCAGGAAGGGCTTAGAGCAAATGAGACAGGATCAGACTAGTAGAGGCAAAAAAATCACGGCTGTGAGGTAAAAAGGAAGGTGGAAAATGGCAGGGCCTGCTCTGCTCAGGTCTGTGTCTCCGTTTTTCTCTTGTACTTTTTTGATGGACGGATCTTTAAGAAGCAAAGTGAGTTTAAAGGGGGAGGGGGGAGTCACAGATGTGCCAGAAGTGATAGGACCCCAGGGGGAGCAGGAGGTGTTGGCAACCCCTTCCCCCTGGGAACATGATTATCCAGTGGTGCCAGTGCCAGTGGGCTGTTAGGGGTGACTATGAATGTGTTTTCCCTGTAAGGATCCTAAGTAAACCTTTGCAATTTTCATTTTGCTGAGATTTACTATAGTTCAGTGGCCTATTGTTGGCTCCCTTTTTAATCCAAAATCGCTCATTAAATGGAGACCAGCAGACATGAGAGGGTAAGGCCTGGGGGCTGAGCCTGTGTCTGGAGATATCAAAGCAGGTTCCAGATGGGCAGAAGCAGCTGCCCTTGTTACGCGCTGGGCACTAATCTAAAACCCTGACCTGCTTCTCTGCACATTACATATATTAAATGCAGCCAAACTTCTAGGGATGGCGAGGTCCGTGGACTCTTCCCGGAAGCCTCCAGACACAGCCTGGACCAGGGACAGGAGAGGGAAGGGGCTGCCTCTGGCCAGGCCAGCTCAGGGAAATGGCCTGTGGTGCCCACTGACACGTCCCACCTGGGAACTGCTGGAATTGCTCGCCTCCCTGGCCAAACACCCCCCAGCTAGAAAAGCCAGATTAAAAATCTGGCATAATTTCCAGATTTGATCTTGGATAATTTCCAAGTAGTGCATGGGACATAGTTATACTCTAAATGTATTTGTTGGTGGTGTGGTGGCGCCCGTGGCTCAAGTGGCTAAGGCGCCAGCCACATACACCTAAGG